TCCTTGATGCATTTGATTTGGTTGATGTCCCTTGTCTTCCTCTCCCGAATCCTAGCAATCTTATAAATGTCCTTCTCCCCCTCCTTCGTGCCTAGGCGTTGATAGAGGTCATCATAGGCCCGACCCTTCGCTACACTCACGGCACGCTTTGCAGCCCTTCTCGCTATTTTATAGCTCTCAATGTTGGTTGCACTCTTGTCGAGGTGGAGACGCTTGAAACACTCTTTGTTCTCTTGAATAGCCCTTTGCAACTCGTCATTCCACCACCAAGTGTCTTTCGCATCCTGCTTGCTTCCCCTACTCACACCAAGTACTTCTGCAGCCACCTTCCGAACACATGTTGCCATCTTTAGCCACATGTCATCTGCATCTTCTCCTTCTTCCCAAGGCCCCTCGCCTAGCATCTTATCCCTAAACGTCTGCGCCACTTCCCCTTTAAGCTTCCACCACTTCGTTCTCACGGTCTTGGCACATTTGTCTCGGTGGATACGTACTCGGAATCGAAAGTCCGCCACCACCAGCTTATGCTGGGGGACAACACACTCCCCAGGTATCACCTTGCAATCTACGCTGGCGCGTCTATCCTCCCTCCTTGCAAGGATAAAGTCGATCTGACTTGAGTGACGTCCACTATGGAAGGTCACTAGATGAGATTCCCTCTTCCTAAAGAGGGTGTTCGCTATCAGCAAGTCGTAGGCCAACGCAAAGTCCAACACACCCTCCCCCTCTTCATTCCTACTACCATACCCCAATATACAAGGTGATGAGGCGAGCTCGAGTGGTCCACGAAGATTTAGAGACCTACGAGAGCTTTATGAAGCTACAGAGGAGGTAACAAATTTGAGTGCATTTACTCAAAGACCATGAGATTCCGCCATCCCCACAAACGCCACACCGTAAGATCGAACAGCGCCTCCCAGTCGTCGACATCCGGAGTCAAACGACCAGATAGGGAAAGCCAAGTCCTAAGGTCCAAGGAGAAAAAAGTGCGTCACTAGCTTCGCGGGATCAGT